AGATATAAAAAAAAACATTTTAAACTACTTACACAACTTTAGCTTTGGAAAATTATAGAATTCCCATGTAACTGTGTTTTAGCATGTACTCCAAATTTTATCATATTATGACTATCGCTTTCCCAATACTGGTTCTGCTAATGCAATAACAGTGCTCTTGTTGATGTGTGAAAGCTGGTAACAACAAAGCTACATAATGGTTTTTCTACAAAACAAGCTTATGATATAAAAATTACCCAAAGTTGGACCATGATCAAAAAGCTTCTCCATGTGACTAATCAAGAGAAATACTTTAATTCATCAACATATACAATAAAGTACATGTTCTTAAAAAAATATATTAATGAAAAATAAAAATACATGTCTTGATCCTTTCTTTTCTACAGAAAACAAAATTGGTCATCATAGACCAAAAAATATGTTTCTCAGGAATAACAACATTTTATTTATAAAGATTTCTTTACATCACTATTCAGAACAAGGGCTATATGTATACACACACACACTCACTAGCAGCTAATAAGGACCACTAAACAAAAAAAAACAAACTTTGATTTAAAATTTTTCACACTTGACAGTATTCATGTGAAAATCATAAGGTAACTTCAAAGGTTGGATCAGACGTAATACTTTCATATTGTTTTTCATGTTCACATGACAAAAACCATTTGCATAAATAATCATGCAAAGATAGGTCAAATTACTATGCCAAAATCATTTTAATGAATACCTTTGAGTTAAATTACTTGTATGGCTAATTTTGAAACTTCTGAATCTTGGTCAGATTTCTTTTTATTTCCCTGATAAATAGTACATTACATAATCATATCACTCACACCAGAATGATGAGATATTTTATGCATATCTAAAGCAATAAATAACACACTAGTAAAATATGGTTGTGAAGTATGGTTTTTAAAGGGGCATTGCTATGAAAGGGAGAAATCTTGGTGAAAAAACAATGTCAAGGATTGTCTGGGAATTATTATGATGCAGGCTAAAGAAAATATCAATAATTAAGAGTTTGTGGCTTAACCATTGGATGTAATGTTGACATTAATTTCACCTAACATTTAAGTCATCTTATGGACAGATTATTACTAATCACATTTTACTTAGGCCCTTTATAACAATATTTCATAACTATCTAGATAAAGAAATAATGACTAAGGATTTGTAAATCAAAAATGAAAGGTTATTCTTTAATTAAGAACTTAAAGTATAGAAGATTCTAACAATAAATAGATATATTTGAATAGAAACAGAAACAAACTATTCAATAATTCACAATTTTACATAACTGGATGCACAAGCTAAATGAGGATTCTTGTAAAATTTTTAAATCACCACCATAACAACAAAAGCATACCCACAAGTAAAACAAAGTAGATAATGCACTATTTCATTAGTCTTTTAAAGGACCTACAAAGTTATTTTTAAGGCTTGTTGTATAGCAGGCACTTTTTTGTCACTCAGTAGTAAAGAGTTACAGTTTTATCCAATCTAAATTTTCAAAGATATCGTTTATAAACTTGCAATGTAACTTTTTACACACATCCAGTACTGAACCAAGACAGACTTGGTATGCCATAACAATTAAGGCACTACAAGAATGTCTTGTCTCTGACTTTCATGGGGTATATCATAATGTGGAAAATTTTTATTGAGGACTCCAACTAAGCAAACAAGGAGGGTCACCTGAAGCAGTTTCCAACCACTGTACACTTTTAATTATTAGGTTCTGATTCAATTATGTCAGAAGTGTTAACAGAACTGTCATTTTTCCTTTCTAAATTTTTTATAATTCCTTACATTTATTGTAGTCTGCTACATATCAGACTTTGTCATTACTAAGAATTCACAAATCATCTTTTTTTTTTAAATCAGCATGTCTTGTTTGTTTGTTTTTTATCCACATTGGGCTGTCTATTGCAGGGAATTAAGTCCCAGATTTTAGCATTGTAAGTTCGTAAATCAGCATGCTATCTAGTACAACTGGTCATTTTTACACTAGTACTAGTAACTTAGTTTTCTCAGATCAGAATACAGGTATAAAGACTAAAAACTGTTTATTTCTAAGTCTACGTAGAGTGTAACAATACTCTACACAAAAGTGTAAACTCAAAATGTTTTTAACACCAGTGAAACTATCATAAAGAGTCATATCAGTTAAAAAAGTTACACAAGAATCTGACCTTATTTCATGCTTTTATTAAACATAGACACCCTAAAGGATTCTGTTTACTATAATATAGGGTTATTCAAAAGTCAAAGTCCCTATGTGAGTACACAAAAATAAGTTAGTTATAGCAAATAATACAACATTTGTATGCTAAGTACACCACTTTCCATCTGCTCTTAAATGTGGTATGAACAGGTACAGTTAAAACAGATTAGTTCAAGTCACCTAAATTCACTAGGTTTTCTAAAAGAAGTAAACAAGTTTATGTTAGCATGTGTGAAAATACCAAAATGAGCTTACACTTAAAGCTAATGATTCATTTTTTGTAGCTTAAAAAAAAATCGATTTCAATTTAACCGTCTTATTTTGTTCAGGTCTTTTACTAAGATTTGCAGTCATACAATATATTTTATCTGAAAATCCTTATTATGATCTCTTAAGACTTATTAAAGCTCTGTAATTCAAAATCTTCTCATATCTTAATCTTTCTTCAAGCTTCTAATTACAAATATTCTATATAAAGAAAGCAGTATTTGTTTTGATCACATATATATAGTATACAAGTTTGCAATTTAGTGTTATCTTTGATAATTCTTTTTTTGGTTGTTTTTTTTTGCACCATATCTAAAATTTTCTCCTGAATATATGAAGAAAACGTTTAGTCACTGCCTATACATTAAAATAGTCTAATATTACACATTTCTTTTAACCTGTACATTTTTAAAAATCTTCACATCTTTTGGTCATAAATCAACTAACATATGCAATTAAATGTTATTTAATTATTATTTACAATAAGTCAAAACATATATCTCCTGCTCTAACTTAAAAACAAACAATTTAATAGATCTGTTTCAGCATATCACGCGAATTCCAAGTAGAGTATACTGAAGACTTTTACATCATCATAAGATAAAAAGATTGAAAGATCCTGTTGGACTTTACATTAGCTGAAGACTAAGAAATAATGGTCCAATGATGTACCAAACCAAACTTCATTCCAGAACTATAACTAAAGATTCTGATTCCAGGAAATCTTTTGATCCTCTTTCTTTACACAAATGTATCACACCTTTAAGGAGGCATGTAATGGAACTCGCAAATCAACTGAGGTATAGAAGAGAATATATGCTGCTGATGTCTGAAAAATGAGAGAGCAAAGTGTTAGCTTCTATGAAAAAAGTTTCTCCCTCAGAGATAATACAGATTCAATGCATTTCCTAATAGGAATACCCCTTACACAAGTTAAAAGTGACTATCAGACGAGATCTCAAACCCACAATTCTTAGCTAACAAGACCATTGTCCTAGGTTATGTAAAGTCAAGTCCAAGTTAATCTTTACATTACCACGACACTAAGCTGAGTCAAAAAACATGTTCCAACTATTTCTTAAGCAGACATTGATCATATTTTCTATTGTGGGTAGAAAACAATAAATTATGTTAAAAATATTAGGTGATTAATGTATTCTGGTAATTTGAAAGCACATAACTGAATATGTTTTTACTAATAGTATACTATAAAATTTACTACAAAGATAAGAAAAATAAGGACAGTTTTTAATTTGCCTTAAACTAAGTAATTTATTCAGAAAAAAAAAAAACACTGAACATTTATAGTCAAAACCAATATTGCATAGGATACTGCAACAACAACAACAAAATATATATATATTGGCTTAATTGAGTACAACCTGTTACAAACAACAATAATACCCAGGCTTTCCATCCAGAAAATATATTTTTAAGGATAAACTCTGGGCTTTGTAAGTGACAATTTAAGAATACTTAGAGATGTTTCCAAAAATATATTAGGAAAAATTGAAATAAACGAACAATTAAACAGGGTGACTGACATTCATATAATAGCAATAAAGATTCGATGACGAGGACCCCACTTTGAGACTAATAATGCTTGGAGACGGCTTGAATGGGTAATGAAGAAAAACTTTAAT